TCGCTCATCTGCTCCGCAGTCTCTGGCAGGAAGTGGCTGCATGCTTCCTCGTCGGACCAGGATACGTTGTCTGGCTTCTCCGTTGCAGGCGCCTTCTCTGTCCGCCGTGGTTGCCACCAGAGTAGAATGTGCGCGTGTGGGTATCCTCGCTTCTGCCATTCTATGCGAACGATGTACTCGGTGACGTGGAAGGGTGGCTGTTCTTTGCGCAGGTTGTAATGTTGGCCGGCAGCATCAGCTGCTGGCGCAGCTGTGCTTATGTCGTCTTCGTCCTCAGCGGACTGTCGGTGGTCGTCCGGGTCCGCTTCGGCGTCCACCTTGCTGTCTACGTCAATGTCTGGGGCTAACCATCGTAGGAATTGCCGCAGTTGGTGCATGAATTGGCGGGCTACCACTGCCGGATGCTGGTTGCAGAGCTGGTTGGCGGTGAAGCCGTTCCATGTAAAGTCCTCGCGCTGGTAGTTCCGGAGGATTTCTGCGGTCTGGCGTCGAAGCCTGAGGCGGTGCTTCGGCCCGGGTCATTTCTCTATGTTGGTACATTTGTCGGGCCGTGTGGGTGGTAGGCTTAGTCATCGAAGGCGTGCTAATTAACTGGGGAGCTATACGGGTGTCCTGCCCTGGCTTCCATCGTTGCAGCGAGTGACTCGGCGGGCTCGAGATCGGGATGCATGCGGAGCAATCTCGCAGTGATGACGGCGGCCAGGATGCCCGGCTGGCGAGCGTGGCACGTGAGGGTGAGGAAGAACTGTGGTTGTCCGAGTTGCTCGTACATGTTGAGTGCGATGCCCTTCTTGGCGTAGATGTAAGGCTGCGTGCCGGGGATGTCGCGCAAGGCCGTGTAGACGCGTCGGCTCCCGTCTTGGTAGCCCTGGCAGCCCGCAGGCTTCTGTTGCGAGCCCACACGGACATTCACATTACCGGACAACCGCTTCTTCAGCTGTGTCTCCAGAAGCCACATGATGTAAGATGCGGATTGTTCGAAGCGACCATCTTGTCCCAGCAGTCGCTTTCGGGCATACTGCGAGAAGCTCTTGTACGCGTCCTTCCAACCATTCGTTCCATCCGGAAATAGATGTGGGAAGAACTTGACGTCGATGTCGTCGGCCAGTTGGGCGCTGCCTCTCGTCTGCCGTAACTCGTTCAGGTCAGCTCTGGGGACTTTTGGATCCTTCGGCACGAGGTAGGTGAACTGGTGCTCGTCATCCTCTTCTTCCGCTTGCTGCGACTCTTTATTCTCTACGATACGCTCTGCTGTCACATCTGACGACCTTTGTTGCAAGATCGACTCCATCTTGTCAATGACCTCCTGCACGGCGGGATTGTGTCGATACAGTATGTGCTGCGCCTGTAGCGCCTGGAGTGCGCTGCGCAAGTGCTCCAACCGGGCCGAAGACGCTGTGAGGCCGTCCACGCCCTGCACACTCACTGTGCCGTCTTCCTCCAAGACAGCGCCCTCGAGCACATCGCAGATACACGGCTCCTGCATCAAGACGGCATACATTCTGCCCCATTGGCCACTGGGTCCTCCCGAAGGCAGCCTGTCCAGGACGACTTGGGATATGCGCGCCATCGCGAGCAGGTGATGCTCGATCGGCTTCAGGTCTCGTAGTGTTGCCGGAATTGATGGCAAGGCTGGTAGGCGGATTTTGTTCTTGCTCTCGAGGCAGTTTCTGCAGGTCAGTGTGCGACCCGGGCCCGATGGTCGGCATTGTTTTGCCGGCGTTAAGGTTCTGCACGACTGGCACACTCGAGACAACCCGAAACGCGTCCAACCTCCCACGAAATCTTCGTACATCTTCTGTGCGTCGGTCTCTGCCAGTTTGTCTTCGTTGGGGTACGGTGGTCCGTGCCCGCCTCTGTGTTCGGGCCGTCCTCCAGCACCTTCACCTCGCAGAGGTCCTCGAGTGCCGTCTCCCGATTCGGCACGCTGCCACTGCAGTTCTGCTCGTTGTGCTCTACAGCTGTTCTCTTCTTCGGGTCGTCCTCCGACACCTTCTCCTGGCAGATGTCCTCTGGTGCCGCCTCCCACTTCGGCGCGCTGCCGCTGCAGTTCTGCTCGCTGTGCTCTGCGGTTGTTCTCTTCTTCGGGTCGTCCTCCAGCACCTTCTCCTGGCAGAGGTCCTCGGGTGCCGCCTCCCACTTCGGCGCGCTGCCACTGCAGTTTTGCTCGCTGCGCTCTGCAGCTGTTCTCCTCTTCGGGTGGTCTTCCAGCACCTTCTCCTGGCAGAGGTCCTCGCGTGCCGCCTCCCACTCCGGCTCGCTGCCACTGCAGTTCTGCTCGCTGTGCTCTGCAGCTGTTCTCTTCTTCGGGCCGTCCTCCGGCACGCGGTAATGGCCCACGGTGGCCGGCTTTGGCGGCAGCCCTCTTGGCGCGTGCTTCTTCTTTCTGCCTTTCTTTCTCCAGCTCCTCTGCTTGACGGCATTCGAACCTGGTGCAGAAGCCTGGCGCAGCAGCTCGATCGTATGCAGCCAGGCGAGCAACTCTTTTACGATATGGAGCGCCTGCCTCTTCCGCGGCCGACTCGCGGAAACCCGCAGCCAATGCAGGGTGCCATGGTTTACGCTCGGCGTGCTCCCGGCCGGTGCAGGTACATAGTAGCTGCTTGGTCTTAATTCGTTGCTGTGCGTGGTGTGTGTGTGTGTGTGTGTGTGTGCATGTGTGCGTGCACGTGTATACTTGGAGTCATGGCTGACGAGCACGACGGGAGACAGGCGCAACAGCTCGAGACCGAAAACATGGTTGGGATTAACTGCCGTGAAGTGTTTGGCCTCGTAGGTCTTGCGAACGAAAGCCTGTTCAGGCCGAGTATCGGTTCTGGTGCTCCGGCTGGCCTGCGGGCCTTCTGACTTCATGCGGGTTGCGGATCGGGACCTGGCAGCCCATGGAGGTGGCGGACGAACGCGCAGCGGTGGCGGGCCTTCCAGACGTTCGAGTCGAGGATAAACGCCTGGCACTCCATGGAAGCTGAGGACAACAGAATCCATTGCTGCACGAGTCTTCCAGCCCCATTCAGGTCCAGGCAGGACGCAGCTGGACTGGTGCGGAGTTGTCTATGCTGGCCACGACGGGCTACTCTAGAGTGTGGCCTCGTGGCTGTCGTGGCGACCTGGAGACATGGTAACATCGAACTCTTTACACACTGAGGGCGAGTAAACTGGTCGGGCAGGCCATACCGTAGGCGGAGGGATCAGTGTCCGGTGTCGCATGCAGCCGAAGTGGCTGCAGGGGGATTGGCGAACGAGTATCATGGCCAGCAGTTCCGACATCGCCCAGCTGTGTTGCTCGATGCATGTGCCAGTTTTTTTGCTGCGGTCTGTTTCTGCATCGGGTGAGGCCGCGGTGCCCTGGACAACCGGCAACATGGTCTCAGACGCTCTCCAGAAGGATCTTGGCGATCTCACTGGCTGCCCAAAGGCGATTCCTATATCGCAGGGCTGCCACGGGGCTGCGCTCGTTGGGATATTCTGGGCCGCCCGGTAGGGTGCGATACACCAAATCGATGTGCAGGCGCACGGCGTTGGGACCGCCTTCAGCCAGCAGAGCTGCCAATGTCAGGACATGGCGTGTCATGTCGTCCAGCGACGAGATGTTCCGCTTGGGCCAGAGCAGCTCGAAGAAGTTGTACTCGAAGGCTCTGCGCATATGTTCTGCTGGGACGTTATCGCTGATGATCCGGTGCATGATAGCTTCCGTAGGCATCTCGGTTTCTATGGGATCCACATCCGGATCTTCGCAGAGGTCTGAGTAAGTTGCATTCTCCACATAGGCGTCGCACCAGGCCTGGAACATGTGCACGGACAGGAACTCTTGCAGATATCGGAAAGAGCGTACGGCCTGTCGGGTGCACAGGACGGGGCATCGCACGGATTCATGGTTGCTCGTGGAGGCAAAACTACAGCACCGCGCTCGATCGTGCCTGGCTTTCGTTGGGGTCCTCGTTCTCTTTGGAGCTGGCAAGAACGTCGCGCAACGACATGGCTGCTTTCCGCCTGTACTTGGGTCCGGTAATGGGAGGTCTTCTAGTATACTTCGAAGTGTCCGGTTCGAGCCCACAGCTGCCAGAAGAGTGTGCATGCTACATGACTGATGCTCGTGTGGTGCGGTGGTCGCTCGGTTTTGCTCCTGCGAAGACGGTGAAGCTGCTGTGCCCTATGGAATGCTGACGCCGCTAACTAGATGGTCTTTAGGATAATGTCTGCGATCTGACTGGCCGTCCAGAGACGCTCCCGGTACCGTAGTCGTCCTATAGCGGGGTCGGACCCCTCTGGCTGGTCCGCACTACTGGCCCCGGTGCTGTACAGTAGGTCGATGTACAGGCACGCTTTGCGCTGGCCTCCTTCTGCCATCACGCTTTTGAAAATTGTCACGAGACGGGTCAGATCGGTGTGTGCTGCTAAGTCTCGTCTCGGCCACAGTAGTCGGTAGATGCAGTAGTCGAAGCCTTCCGGTGTCTTGTCCACTTCGGATATGCCGGGCAGCAGTTGACGCACGGTTTCCTCCGATGGGCACTGGTTTTGCTCCGGCGCGATCTCCGAGGCGCTGGGAACGTCCGCATAGGTCCAGTTGCTCACATTGGCGCTGCACCATGGTCGGAAGAGATGTGCACCTAGGACTTCTCGTACTTTCTGGCAGGCATCCGTTGCCTGGCAGACAGGCATGCTGTTCCATGTAGACATGGATAACGGGATGAATCGTGTCCGCGCCTCGGTGTCTTCGGTGCTCTGCTCCACATCTTTGTGGTCTTTCCTGTACGACATGGCAGCTGCAGGCTTGCTGGACTATGCCAGGTCGCCGGTGGTGGTCGTCCTGGGTCCGGGCGGCTTACGCTAGTCGAATCTCTGTTTGGCTCGGGCCGACGTCGAATCCGAACTTGGCTCTGGCGCTCCGTAGGTATGTTCACTGCTTGAAGCATCGGGGTCTGTGCACTTTTTGCCTGCCTTCTCGCGGCAGCCGTCGCTGCTCTGGTCTGTTAGCCGAGCTATACTCTAGGCGCGGTTCACTACGCTCGCCACGATCCGATCCCGTCCCAGACGTGCTCCAGGCGTTTCGCGTACGAGTACACGGGGAGTGGGGCGTCCGTGTGAAAATGCTCTCCGCACATGGCGTGCTGCAGCGCATAGAAGTTGAACTGCATGCACTCCTTGCCGCCGCGCTGGTACAAGGTGCTGCCCGCACTGCGTTGGACCGTGAAGGCCTCGGCCGTTTGCAAGGCCGCCGCCTGCCAGAGCTCCCGGAAGGACGGGTAGTGGAACCACGCCAAGTGCTCGGAGTTCCACCCCATGTCTTTCATCACCCATGCAAAGGTCAGCTCTCCGGGAACGATTCTCTCCGTGCCGCTCATGCTGCGAAGCCAGCGCCGGAGGCTTTTCTCGGATGGACAGGGGTGCTCTTGTACGAACCTGTGGAGAATCTTCTCCTCTCTGAGCACTTCACGTCGCACCAGCGGATTGCACTTGCGCCAGGGATCGGCCACCGCCCAGGGACCCGTCGTGATGGGCTGTCGCGGAGACTGCGGCGGGATGGGGTTCCCGAAGTCCTCTTCGTCGCTGCTGCTTTGAAGGAGGTCCCACTTGGAGTAGTCGATGCCCGACATGGAAGGCGACGGGATCCGAGTGGAGCCTGCGCGTGCTTTCTTGATTGACGCTGAAGCGGCTGCGACATGCACTGTACTCGACAACAGACACAGATGGATGCAGTCGACTTCGGATTTGCTCCTGCAGCCATCACCTGGAACGCATAGTCTATCTTCCTTTTCGTCTGTCGCGTGGAATGCTGTCGCACGGGGTCGCTTCGGACTCGCTTCCCCTCCGGCAACTGTCTGTCTATGGGTCGAACCCGTCATTGACGACGTCTTGCATTTGAAGGACGGTGTTCAGACCTCTGTAAGTGAAAAAGACGACTACGTTTACTAGCGTGGGCCGGAATGTCCTTCGGAAGGCGGCAGGCCTGGCCGAGTAGAAGAAGTGACTGTCCGATTCTTCCAGCAGGTCGCTCAAAGCCGCGCCCGCGTTCCTTGTCTCTATCGGCCACGCGTTCATCACCAGCACCGCTTCGGCGGGTGAGAACCCTCCGAGCCCGAAGTCGTCCAACCAATAGAGCAGATCCTCGACGGGACCCAAGGTCTCCAGTGGGTCCGAGGGATCTGGCGGAGTCCAGCCCTTCGTGCATCTGATGCTCACGGGGAGATCGAAGCCGGGGAAACGCAGTCGCATGGTCCCCAAGGGTTCCAGGACCCTGCGTAGCCTGGCCACATCTGCCAGAACGGCTCGGGCCCACGCCAGTCTTCTCATGTTCGAGGACCTGCTGACTTGCAGCAGAAGGAGGACCTCCGCTGGCGTCAGCATCCGCCGTAGCAGCACGCCGCACTCCGCTTCCAGAAAGTACAGGAGAATGGCCATGGTGTGCGCTCCGGACTAAACGCTCCTGATGATCCTATGGCTGCAGCTGCTTCTGTATGATGCTCAGATGCCGGTTGCGACCACGATTCTTGTTTCTGCCAGCGCGGACGGCGATGTTGAAGTCTGCTACCTCTCCACTTTCCCACGGTCCTATCTCACAGTCTACGAATCTGTACGGACAGCTGCCCTGTGACGGGTTCTGCCGTGGTCGGTTGGGATGTTATCAGGATGATGGGCGCTGCGTGTACTCGAATGTCGCACAGCGTCTGTTGCGCTGACGACGTCGCGGCTGGGCCCGGCACCGTCGGATTTCCGACGCCGGTCGAGGTGTGTGGGTCTGCTGGCTCCGCTTCTACTCGCCATTCGTAGATAAACTCATACCAGAGTCGACAAGGGAAACGATGCCGGAGGCAGCGGCGCTGCATGCTGGTTTGCCAGTCCTGCAGTGCTTCGGGCCCCCAGCGACGAGACAGGGCGCTTTGCACGAATTCTGCTAGCTCGAGATTCAGTTGCGTCTCGCCTGGGTACGGTCTCTTGTGCATGATCGTGCTGGTGCCTGCAATCCGGCTTTAGGGACTGCACTGAGCGGCTGACCGGTGTCGAGAGTCGTTTCTGCGGCATCCGTCGTGCCGTTGTATTCGGTGCCGTTATGACGGCCTTCCAACGTCCATGGTAGCGGCGACTCTGTATCTGGGCGTGTCGTTCGCGTGGAGAGTAGGTCGCTGCTGCCTTGCATTCAGCTATCGTAGCATTAATTACACGGCGTGAGATTGTCTACTCGAAGTAAATACTGGCTTCGGTCGGACGAGGTGGCGACGGTGTCCTCCTTGATTCTCGAAGTGATCCTGCCTCGGCGGTGCGCCGGCCGCCGGGTCCTGCAGTGTCTGCAGGGCTTCCGTCTGTTGCTTGAGGTAAGCACATTCATTCCGAGCATGCCGCGTCCCCTCCTCGTCGGCGTTGTCGTGGTCCTGACTGCAACGGCACAGTATATCGCGCGAACGTGGCTGCGTGTTCGAGTCTGGGCTCCTGCACGTCCGCCCAGGCCTGTCTGCCCGAGAAAACCAACATGGCTCGTTGGCAGCTGCTCGGGCCCTGGGTGGCAGAACCAGGCGACTCGTTGCGGCGATGCTATGTGATGCGGCACT